TGAGAGCAAAAACTAAGATAAACTAAAACTTGGTGTTTTTTTTCTGGTTGAGGAGTAGTGCCCTGGGTGTGTGTGTGTGTGTGTGTGTGTGTGTGTGTGTGTGTGTGTGTCTTCGGAATACCTAGACATTTCCTCATCCTGACGCTCCCGGCTCTTTCCTGACCCCAGCATTTCTCAGCCAGCAGCTGCACCCCCCCCATGCAACTGCTGCGCATGCGCTGGATTCCCTGCACCTGGGTGGGAGACTGGCTCCTGCGGAAGAGAGGAGCGCCTAGTGGCTTACTCCTCCCCCTTTAGGGCTGCTGCTCCCTCTTCGTTGCTGTGCTCCTCCCGTTCCTGCAGGATCCTCACTATCAAGACAGAGACAAATGTTTTACATGCGTCTCCCATCCAACTGCCTTCTGCGCACGAGGCCACGTTCTCCTTGATCTGGTCCACACTCAAGAGGCCCAGATGTAGGGCCTAATGTAGGGGAAAGCCCTATAGTAACTCCCAGTATGCTTTGACTAAGTATATAACTCAATTTTTCACATGTACATATCTTTATTCATCTTTGTATGTATCTTATATGTGCATGTCATTTGAAAATCTGATGTTGGAGCACTACTTGGGAAAATTTATTATTACATTGAAAACACAAAAATCAAAAAAGTATCCTTCCTTTCTTGCATACTACTTTTACATCCAAGCATACTTTATTTATAATTGATATATAAACAATTTTATTGGATGAATCACCCATCACCATATGATAAACATATTCTATGTTGTCCTTTTCCTTAAATTATCAGATTTAATCATCATAAAGCATCTCTTGGTCTGTCTGACATAATTGACTTACTCCCTAATAACTGGATGTTGAGGGTGTCTCCATTGCTCTTATGGGCGATGCTGGGGAAAGGACACCCACTCAATTATTTAGTTTCCTGTGAATCATCTGTGAAGATGAATTCTTAAAAGGAAGATTAATAATTGGACCAAAAGAGCAGTATTTGCATTAGTGCCAAACATTGACTATTGATATTCAGAAGTAGTTCCTCAAGTTGTTAGTAGAAGTGTTGCCAATTGCAAAGGGCATAGGCTTTAACATCAAGTGGAATTGGTTGAAACTTCAGCTCAGACACTTACTGTCTGAGGGATTAAGGACCCTACCTCTCTGAGACTCCACAATATCACCTGTAAAATGGGAGTGATGAAACTGATCTCATTGAGTAGATTAAATGAGTATGTAAATAGCGATACCCTACCCAGTGCCTGGTTTATTGTAGGGACTAAATCCACTCTTTTTGCCCTCCATGCTTTCTTTCTCCTTGAAATTATTTGAGACATGAGGCCTTTCACTTCTCTACCTTCCCATCCTTCTTGAACCATGTTCCCCACAAAAGCCTCTGGCCATAATACAAGACATCTTTCTTTGACAGGTGCTGCTCAACAGAAATATAAAGCCAGCCACAGATTCAAGCCACATGTGTAATTTTAAATTTTCTGGTAGCCACATAATAAATAGGCTACATTAATTGAACCTGATTATTTATATACATTTTTAAATATTTCATTTAACCCAGTATCACAAATACTATCTTTTTGATATACAATCAGTGTTCTTTAACTATTAATGAGATGTTTCACATTTATTTTCATTGTTTGTAATATCTTTGAAATCAGATGTATGTTTTATACTCACAGCACATCTTAGTTCAGGCTGTTTACATTTCAGGTTGGGCTACAGGCTACTATCTGAGTAGCCCACATCGAGACTTTGAAACTTAAGCTTTCACAAGGTATGTGGATTCTTCAAATGGGACTATTAGCCAAGGATTTAGGAACATTGTCTGGAGACATCATTTCAAAGGCAAAATGCAGGAACATTTTGATGGTTTGCAGCACTTGGAGGGAGATAAATGCAAGGGTCTAGTTGTAAATAAAATGGATAGCAACTCTGTAGTGTGACTCAAAGAACTCTGAAGAGTCCATCTTCCTCCTCTCCCTCCTGCACAAAATGTCTCCCTCCCCAGTGGCCAAGCTGACTTTCTTTTCTACCATGAAGGTCCCTTGGGGGCATGAGGAACCAAGATTTCACTTCTCTCTTAATGTCTAATACATATCACCACCTTTGCGTGTTAAACCTATATTCTGTAATAACCACCACCTTGTATATATGCTTCTTCACCTTGACCCAACTCAGTGAATGACAACTCAATTCTCTCTGTTGCTCTAGAGTCATCTTCAACTTTTCTCTCCCACCACCTATATTTAAAACATCATCAAATCTGCCCTGACTAGTGTGGCTCAGCAAATTGAGTGCTGGCCTATGAACCAAAGGGTCACTGGTTTGATTTCCAGTCAGGGCACATGCCTGGCTTGCAGGCCAGGTCCCCAGTAGGGTGCACTTGGGATGCAACCACACATTGATGTTTCTCTCCCTTTCTCCTTTCCTTCCCCTCTCTCTAAAAATAAATTAATTAAATCTTTAAAATATGATCAAATCTGATTATCAGAAAGTATCTAGAATCTCACCACTCTAGCCACATGTCATTATTTCTATTACTATCACTTTTGGGCAAGCCACCATTTCCTCTAGCCTGGATTATTACAACAGCCTCTTGACTGATAGCCTTGCTTCTTTCTTTGCTACTCATTGAGAAACTAGAGTGATTCTTTTCTAAAATGTAAATATAAATCAAAAAGTAAAAAATGTATTTTAATGACAGCTGAAGAAGACCTAAATAAGTGTGGAGAAAAACCTTTTTCATAAATTGGAGGAGTCATTTTCACAAAGATATCACCTCTTTCCAAATTATATTTCCAATCAAATCTGAACATAGCTTTCTTGTTGAACCTGAAAAGCTGCTCCTAAAATTCATATGAAGGAAGAATATACCAAGAATGTGAAGAAGAATGGAAGAAAGAAAAAAAAAAGAGGAGACTTTTCCCAGATATCAAAATTTATTATAAGCCTATACTTAATATTATGTAGTATTGGCAAAGGGTTATTGTCAAACAAATTGACAGCTTAGAAAAACAAACTGAAATATACACAACAACCTGATTTACAACAGAACTGTTGTAGATGACTGGGTAAAGAATGGCTCATGAGTATCCACATAGGAAAATCAGAATAAAATAAAATGTCCCCCCTTATCACACCACACAGAAAAATTATTTCCAGGTGAGAATAAAGACTTAAATGTGGAAATCAAAATTAATTCTAAATTTTAAAAATAATGTAAGAGAATAGTTTTGTAACTTTATAGTGAAGAATTTCTTAGACAATGCCTAAGTATATATCATAAAGGAACATGTGGATAAATAAACTCATTTAGAATTAAGATACTTGCTCATTAATAGAAATCACAAAGAATGTAAGGATACAGGGCACAAACAAGAAAAAAATATTTACAACATACATAAATGATAAAGCATTAGTACCAAATATGTACTGAGTTACAGTAAGTCAACAGAATAAAAGACAGATGACCTCATAAAGAAATGGGAAAAAAATTGAACCAAAAAAAAAAAAGGAACACCGAATGACCAATAAACATATCAAAGATGTTCAACCTTAGTAATTGAGGAAATGCAAATTTAAACATTATTTGATAGTTTTTCATTTTCACTGGATTGGCAAAAATTAAAACTTTAATGTCAAATGTTGGTGAAGCTGTGGAGCATCAAAAACTTTTACACATTGCTGATGGGTGGGGGGAAAGATATGCTGGTATTATCCAGTCAGGTTGAAGATATATATATGACCCACCAATTGCACTTCTAGCACATGTACCCTAGGTAATTCTTGCACACATGCCCTAGGATAAATGTGCAAGGAGAGTCCTAGCAGCACATACAAGTGCTACAGCGCCTAGCAGCTTATAATAGGAAAATAAAAACCTAGAAACATTCCAAGTTCCCATCAGCAGTAACTTGGAGAAGTATGCAGATATATATTACTATATAACAGAATACTATACAGCTGTAAACATCCATGAATTAGAGGCTTATGCAACAATATGAAGAAATTCAGAAACATAATTTTGAGCAAATTAAGTCTTAAAAGAATATGTAATTCCAATTAACAAAGTTCAAAAACATATAAGACGAAGTAACATATATTTAGCAATTTAAATGTATGAGGTAAGTCTACAAAGAAAATCAAGGGAACAATAAGCCCTACATTTAGGATCACAGTTTTCTGTGACAAGAGAGGGAGAGGGACAAGCAAGGGAGTATGTCAAAGGTGCTGATAATCCCTAAAAACACACTAAGGTGGCAGCACGCAGGGTCCATGACATGTTTATTCCTTATACCCTATATACTTTTCCATCTAGTCAACATTCAAAAGCTTCCCAAATCATGGGGAATACAACCAAAATTCTCCCACTGGAGAGGAAGGCCCTTCCTGACCTGACCCCAGCTGACCACTCTCTAGCTGGTCACTGCATGCCACACACCCCTCTGCTATGCCGACCTCCACCAGGCCTCCACTTCTGTACCGGGGCCTTCTGCATCTCCCTGCCAGAGATCTCTTTTCATAAACCCACAGGACTCAGGCCCTCCCTTACTTCCAGTTTCCACTCATCAGGCACATACATTCTCAACCTCCTGACCCCCACTCCCCACCTCCTGCTTTCCATCCCACTATAGCCCATGGCACCAAGCACCATCAGCCCATCATTGACCCTATGGTCTTTAACAGTGCCTGGAAGGAGGTGGTTTTTGATAAATATTTGTTGAACAGTGAAATGAATGATTACATAGAAAATCATATTAAAATTAAAATGCTCCATGGAAAGGGTAATAACACAGAAAATTCTTATTAACCAGATTATCTGCTCATCACTTCAGAGAGGTTGGGACAAAGGATTGGTTCAGTGTTCTCAAAGGTAAGATTTCAGGGGAGGGGAAAAGAGCAAGTCCTGCTCATTTAGAAAATGTTGGCATTTCTAAGGTTTAATGTGGTAATTCAGATGAGGAAACGGAGGCCCAAACCAGCACCTACTTACCAGACTCCCAGGAGTTACCGCAGTGCCAGGACAGAGCCAGTTCTCTTGGTGACCAGTCAGAAGTGAGCCCTACAGCTCATCAGCCTTCAGAGGCCTACTTAGGGGCTGGGCAAGGGAGTTTCACAGTCAGCCCACCTCTCCACCCCTGGATAGTTGGTACCACCTCCCTAAGCATGGCAGGCCTTCTTCCTTAGCAGAATCATGAGGAAAGACCTGACCTGGAGTCAGAGGGTGAGCATTGGTGCTAGAGCCTGGCCTGTCCCGGCAACACCCAGCAGTGACAGACACCCCAGCAGACCCAGGCATCAGAGTGGCCCTGACCTCAAGTATTGCCCATCCTGCAAAAAATTCCTGCTCCTCAGCTTACCTCCTTTCCCACATTTACAAACCCAGATCAGGCACTGGTGGCCACATGTGTTCCCATGCTTAGCTTTCCAGGAGGCAGCCAGTAGGCCCCACCCTGACAGATAGGAACCCTATGCCCACCTCTATGTTAGCCTGGTGTCGCCAAGAGCAAGGTAACCTACCCAGAGGTGTGTCAGTCAGGACCTGAACACATCAGATGGCATTGGTGCCCCCACATCCAGTCAGAACCCCCCAGGCTTGAGGGAAGAGGACCCGGCCCGGCATCGTCAGCCTTCAATGGCGTTTCACTATGAGTCACTCAAGCTAGGCCTCTGCTCATTTCCTGAAGAAAGGAGAAGTGGGGATTCTGCAAATGACTGATTCTGCCCACTCCCCAGCCATCAACAAAACTGCCAGAGTTCTTGTGGGTGACTCAGGCCCTGCAGAGAGGGTAGTATAGCTCAGTGGTCAGGCAGTGCTGAGGGCAAGGACAGAGGAAAAGCTTGTGAATGGCGGGCAAAGACTTTAGCTCAGTGTTATCAGGCTGGACTTCTCCTCTTCCTCAGCCCCACCTATCTTCTCTGAACCTCCAGTAAAATGACAATGATGGTGGTATTTATGTGAATTTAATTAGAGGTATGTCTAAAGATGCTCCATGGACACTGCATGGGCCTCCTTTCTACCAGGCCAGAGAGAGCTTTACACTTACATCCTTTTCTCCATCCTCAGACCTAACTTGTACAACTGATCAAGATGAAAAAAAAAAGTTTAAATAATAGGATGAAGTTCTCTGAATCTCAGTATCAATATTCTTCTTCCTTTGGGTTTATTAGTTTGAATCATTTCTATCATCTATTCATAACATCATTCAGGTAAAACCAGCCAGCATGTCTATTCAAACACAACACCTCCCTGTGTTACATGAACATGAGAAGTTGTTGGAATGATTGCCTAACCCTTAAAGCTAGCTCCTCACCTGTTTCTACCTATAACCAACTGACCACTTTTGGTTAACTATTAATGAAAGGCAACATCACCTGTTATGGGGTACAAAAAAGTTGAGATTTGTTTAAAGATGAAAACACCATTTGTAATGAAACTTCAACTCTTACCAATGCAAACTTGCCAGTAAACAGTGGCCAAAAATCAGACCTGTCTGATTGAGGACCTGGGCCATATGCTCATGCTGACTCCATGGGCAAAGGTTCCAATATTTCTGCTCAGGTTTTCATTTCTCATTCCACTGTCCTTGGGTCAAAAGGAAGTGAGAATGGAAGGTGGAAGTGTGCACAGCACAATAGGGCACTGCAGAACGTCCTGAGACATGCAGTAAGTGTGTGCAGCAGCACAAGTATGACCTTGTCAAGCCAGAATGGCCTCCAGTACATTTAAAGCAACAAATTAAAACTCATGGTTATACCAGTTCCAAGATCCACTGTGCTATACTGTGTACCATTATAGGAAAAAATGTTAATTTTCTTGGCAGTTGTAGAACAATACTCTACATCAAAAGCCAGAAACTAGGAACAAGTTCCAAATTTAAATAGACTAGCCCTAACAAAGAATAAAAGCAAGCCTGACAGAACCAAAAAAAATTCCATAATTTTAACTGCCAATCAGAACAAAAATCATCACTCTTTAAAGAAAGAAAGCATAATGCAGCATTCGTCCCATGTAACATCCACACTGTCCAGCTTATAACCAAAATTAGAAATACAAAGAAACAGTAAATGTAATCTATAAGAAGGAAAATAACTATCAACTGGAACAGATTCCAAGATGAACCAAATGTTGGAATCATCACACAAAGATTTTTTTTTTTTTTTTTGAGATCATGAAATTTTATTTACATCCATTTCCATTCATTATATCACATCTTGAGGGTAGGCAGTAACTTATTTAAAGGCTATGCTCGTTTTCTGCAGGCTGTGGGCAGAAGACTCCCGAGGAGCAGTAATTATTGATCTGAAACCTTTCAAGTAGAAGAACTGCTGTGGGGATTCTATAACTTTACATATCCCCCAAAGATTTTAAAACAGCTATTAGAAATTTTTCAAATACTTAAAAATATTTATAATAATTAAAAGGTGATAAATTTCAGCAAATAAATGGAAAATATAAGAAGATTTAAGTGTGGGAAGGGGTTGGGGAGATAATCCCTATTAAGTACAAATTGGTTGTTGGAGAACAGTCATGGGGATGTAGAGTACAGCATGGAAAATATAGTCAATAATATTGTAATATTGATAACTATGTATGGTTCCAGGTGGGTACTGGAAATGTCAAGGGGAACATTTTGTAAAGTATATGATTGTCTAAGCACTATGCTATGCACCTGAAACCAATACAAAAAAATATTAGATGTAAAATGTAATTGAAAAAAAAATTTTAAAGATTAGAATGTAAATTCTAGAACTGAAAAGTATATCTGCAATGAAAATTTTCCTGGTGGGCTGATAGCAGATTGTTGATCTCAAAAACAAAAACAAACACAAAAATCCCATCAGCGAAGGTTGAAGACCAATAAATAGGAATTATTCAATCTGAAAAACAGAATGAAAATAAACATGCACTCAGCTGCATTTGTAACAATACCAAATAGTATGCTCTGTGTGTAACAGGTGTCACGGAGAGGTAAAAGAGAAAGAAAAGAGCAGGAAAAAGTGTTTGAAGAAATAATGTTAAATTCCTAAAGTTTGCTGAAAAACAGCAAATTGCAGATACAATAAGCTTAGTAAACCCCAAGGAGAACAAAATGGAAGGAAAATCACATCTGGGTACATCATAGTTAAATTCATGGACATCAAAAATAAAAAAAATAATCTTAAAAGTAGTCAACAGGAACATAACCTCAGGTAAATGGTTTATCAGAAACAATGAAAGTCATAAGACACTGGAAAGATATCTCTAACATGCTAAAAGAAAAAACAAAAACTGTCAACCCATAACACTTTAACCAATGATACCCTTGAAAAGAATAAAGATGTAAAAAAGTTATTTCCAGATAATGACAGCTGAAACCATTAATCTCCAGAAGACTTGTACTACAGGATATTCTAAAGAAAGTTTTTGTGGTTGAAGGGAAAAGACTTCAGATAGAAACTTGGATCTACAGAAGGAAAAGAAAACCACTATTAATGGCAAATGTATACTAAATATGAACAAACTATATACTTTTCCTTATTTTAATTTCTTTAAGAAGCCTATGACTATTTAAATTAAAAAAATTGGAGTTCATACCATATGTAGATAAAATATCTATGACAATGATTGCACCAAAGATGAAGGAATGAATGGAAGCACACTGTTGCAAGCTTGCCTCATTTTACTTGAAATAGCATTTTATTAACTCTGAGTAATAATAAAATTGTGATAAATTAAGGACACGTTTTATTTATAGCTGTGTGAAAAAGGTATCAGAAAAAGTCATGGTTCAGTTCTATTGAACAAACCCACACTGAGCATCTCTTCTGTGCCAGATTCCAGGTAGACCCTAGAGAAACAGAAATGAATAAGGCAAATTGTCTGGGTTATTTCCTACAAGAGTTGTTCAAGGTGGGTAGGTAGTTCTCACTCATATAGTCATTTAGGAACACAAAGTCCTTTGTCCCTTAGAGTCTATTTGTTATCCACATCCAATCAGCAAAAGGGTAAAGAAAGTGTATAAGATAGACCTTCACTCATAAAAGCCCAGCTGGTAAGTGGCATACATACAGCACTTTGATTCACATTTCATTGTAACTGCATAGACATATCTAATGTCAAGGAAAGAAGGGAAGTACAGTCCAGCCATGTGCCACCTTGATCTGTAATTAGGAGAGAATGCATTGTGGGTAGGCTGTCAGTCTCTGCCGTATTCTTTTTAGAGAGCTTATGATCTATACAAAAGACAATATATTAAAAAGTTAATAATACTCTCCTTACATTTAAAATAAACCATTTTAATTTTGTATATGATTCAAAAAATATAAGTAATAAAATGGAAATCAGTCCTGGCTGGTGTGGCTCAGTGGATTGAGTGTTGGTCTGCAAACCAGAGAGTCATGGATTCAATTCCCAGTCAGGGCACATGCCTGGGTTACAGGATGAGTCCCGGGTAGGAGGCATGTGAGAGGCAACTACACATTGATGTTTCTCTCCCTCTCTTTCTCCCTCCCTTTCCCTCTATCTAAAAAAAAAATAAGTAAAATCTTTAAAGAAAATGAAAATTATTAATATCCTAACAGCTAAACAATAGCTATGCGAAAATAGAATTTCATTCTTTTTTCTATGTTTACCAAAGTATTTTTTGATCTTATCTTTTTAACAATTTTGAATCATGACATAAATTTTGCTTCATAATCTGTTGGGATTTTTATTCACTGACTTCATTATAAAAACTTTCCCATTTCATTATTACAATGCATTTTAAATATATTTTATTGATTATGCTATTCCAGTTGTCCCATTTTTCCCCTTTTATTTCCCTCCACCCTGCACATACCCCCCCACCCACATTCCCCCCCTTTAGTTCATGTCCCCAGGTTGTACATATAATTTATTTGGCTTTTACTTTTCCTATACTATTCTTAACCTCCCCATGTCTCTTTTCTACCTACCATTTATGCTTTTTATTCCCTGTACCTTTTCCCCCTTTCTCCCCCTCCCACTTCCCCACTGATAACCCTCCATATTTTCTCCATTTCTGTGATTCTGTTCCTGTTCTAGTTGTTTGCTTAGTTCGTTTTTATTTTCTTAGGTTTGGTTGCTGATAGTTGTGAGTTTGTTGTCATTTTACTGTTCATATTTTTTATCTTCTTTTACTTAGATAAGTCACTTTAACATTTCATATAATAAGGGCTTGGTGATGATGAACTCCTTTAACTTGACCTTATCTAAGAAGCACTTCATATTCCCTTTCATTCTAAATGATAGCTTTGCTGGATAGAGCAATCTTGGATG